AAACTTTTAGGCAACGAAAACAACGAAAATAATCGCCAACTTAAGAAGCTACCAATTTTCTTACTTATTCTCCTGGTCAGTAACTGTTGTTTACACGTTGCTTTGTTCCCACCTTTAGCGTGGCTCTATTTTGCTGTATACAAATCACACACAACCTACAATTCGGCGATTCGCTCTAACGAAAAGCTAAGGCTCGACACGTCAGATTTAGAAACTCTACCTCAAGTTGGCCAATGAGCTGCAGGTTGCCACTGTAAAGATCAGATAAATCCTTTAAAAACAAATTGCAAAGATCACATCATACGGTTTGATTAAGGGTGTAGTATACTATTCTAAATTAAGTGTACAAAAATACAGGGGAAAAAAATCTCCGACTTACATGTACGGACAGTGTGCTCACTCACCGTTAGCTGCTCATTAAGCGCAGTGTCACGCAAATGTCTGTTTTCAATTCGCAAAGCTTCTAGCTGCGCGTTCGTTACCTGAGAAAAAAAAAGAAAGAATGTTGAAAAAGCTCGTATTTTGAACAAAACGGTAAAACCAATTAGGGGTTGTAAAAAAAAAAAAAAATTTCGAGCAGGTATGTTGCGATTACATTCCATCCTACTTCGCTAGCTTTCGTGGGCAAGCATCCCACGCGCGCACCCCACGCGTGCACTACAGGCATGCTAATGTACACGGCTTACTTGTAGTTCAGCAGCTGCTCTGTCGTGTTTAGCTGTCGTTTCTCGCAGATCTTTTTCCATCCGCTGAGCTCTTTCCGTAATGGATGCCATTGCAGTGTCCCTATAAATAGATAAAAAACTAAAAATAAACCAAGAGAAGGCTTCGAGGCTTCTGCAAGAAAGATATTTAATTTCAGGTGCGACCTGAGGTGCAACACAAAGCACGTTGGTTATCATCATTGCCGTTGGATTGGAAAGCCATGCATATGGATTAGGAAAAACAAAAAAAAAAACACATAACAAGCAAAAGGCACCTTTTGTGAAGTTCCGCAGTCATGTTGGCGATCTGTTCCTTCATTCCCTCGACTTCGGCCTGATGACCGTCGTCTCCTGACGAAATTCTCTCTTTGAGCTGAATATTGTATTAAGTATTTTTCGTAAGTTACAATAAAAATACTTCCATTATTTGACTAGTTCGATTACAAATAAACCTAAATGGGAAAGGACTTCTACAGTATTTGGGTTTTTTAGTACAGATCAAGCGATCATTTATCTACCAACTCTCAACTTGCGGCATATTTTCGGGCATAAAGCGAGATCTTTGGGAGCTCTCGTATCACTTAATTTGATGATGTACATAGATCACCGTTAGCCTTTCGCCATTCTGTCTGACGAAAGGCTAACGATCGAACGTTAGCTTTTTAAACTCTTTACGGTGGCCAATTTGCATTATCAACTCAGTTGATGAAACCAAAATTACCTTGTTACACTCCTTCACCAACGCAGCACCACAGTTTCTTTTGAAACTGACCCCCCCAGTTTACATTATCAAGTCGATAGAACCAAATTATGTTGTGTACATTCTAGCGCACTAGTTTCGTTAGATGCCTGGTTGTCATACCTTTGAATTTTCCGAAAGGAGCTGTTTTACGTCATTGTCTTGAATGAATTTCACCTCCTCTTGCTAAAAAGAATGCATCCGCATTAACCCTTAAAACCTAGCATCCGTATGTATATTCTCCAAAGTGTTCCCTATGTGTCCCAAGGCGGTGACGAGGAGAATTTGATTAATAATCAAGAGATTCTTTCGTTGGTGACCATTTCCTTTATTCTCGTGACCTTACTGTTTGCTTTAGAGGTGATGTTGTAAGGAAAAATTAGAAGCTAGCTTCAGATTGCACGGGTAGGGTAGGGGAGACTATCAAAACGAAGGGAGGGGTGTCTCAGGCGAGTCTTGGCAAATGCACATCTTTTGTGTTATCATTAATATTACGAACTTGGGAGCTCCGCTTTCAGGCTTGGCTAAATCTATATATTATCTTCTCCAGATTTCTTTCACTAGATAGCCAGCTTAGTGACTTAAAGACCTTGCGCAAAACATAGTACAGAGGCAAACAGGCAAACAGGCAAACAGGCAAACAAAACATAAGTATTCCTCACAACTAATAAATATCCACGCTCTTGAACAAAAGCTCATCTTTCAAACCGGCAGTCTAAATCCCACAGGTATCAACGAACGCTTTTCATTCCGCTAATTTATTCGTGTTTTTCTCGTTGCCATGTTCCCACCAATCACGTAGCTCCTTTTTCTGCCTTTAAAAGCACACACAACCCAAAATTCCCCTATTCGCTCCGACGAGGGGGTTAACGCTCGAAACGTCAGCTTTTATAATCGTAACGGTGGCCAATTTACCATTTCAACTTTGTTGATATATTCAAATTATTCCTCACAACGTCAGACAAATTCTTTACCTTCCTGCACAGTTCAGCTTGTAGCTTTGAAATTTCATTCTTGCTACTATCCAGTCTGGATAAAAAAAAAAGCATAAATGGTACTTGTACAAAGAAGGAATTGTTCCATAAACACGAACTAAAACAGAGAGAGAGAGAGATATCATAACTTTACCGTCTTTTGTAGCCTTACTTTTGATTAAGATGGCTTATCTCATCCTTCTGATATTGACTGGCGTCGAGATTCGACCTGAGATCGGCGTCAAAAAAAGTAAATTTTAGAATACTTTTTTCTTATGAGGCAAAGTCTGTATAATTTCGTAAGAAGCTCTCTTTGCTCTATCATAGAGGCCGCGCAAAAAACTAAAATGGACGAGGGCGATTATCAGAGAGGGATGTTCTTTGGAGAGACTTCTCAACCCTCAAACTCCCAAGATCTGATTGTTAATTCTCCCCTCTAGCTGCTACACATTTCCGTGTAAATTAGTTTCAAGAAATCGGTGATAGATCAAGATTGCAACTTGAAAGAATAGGATCACCTTTCTCATCGCTCGCATTTTTTCTCGCCCCTACGGACCTCGGAAAAATGCAAGGGAACTCGCAAAATATCCACGCGTACTATTAATATATGTGAAATAATCGAATAAGGTGTATGTGTTGAAAGTTGCCAGAAGTTCACTCACTGTATTTCCATCCTACTTGTTCTGAGATCCTCCTTAAGTCTCCTCACTTCGATATTTTCTGTTCGCCTGCCCACTTCTTCAAGTTGTCTGAACATTGTTGAAAGAGAAAAAAAAAACACTTACTCAAAGACTCTCAACATTATACTAGCACTGCACTTCCCGACAGTCAATGACACAAAGCATGTTTTTTTTTTTATATATTAGTTTCGCCAAACAACAGCAATCAAAATAAGTAGATAAAAAAAAAATGACAAAAAATGGCAGGGACACCGCAATAGCATAGCCAATTACAGCGGGCCCAGAATATAAAAGAAAATAGGACGAGGAAAGAGAAGAAAGGAAACTATCAATCTACATGCAGCAAGTGCATGGTGTTTATCTACATGCAATCTACATGTAGCATGTGATGATGTTTTACTACTATCTCAGGACATAAGCTATCAACATCACTGGTATGGGCTATACAAATCATGATTCAACAAAAAAATAGATAAAGAAGCCAATGTCCATGCGAGTCACCTTCGATTTACTTTAAAATGGCATTTACCGTAAAATATATCCATCACAGTTTTTGAAACAAGGCAGGAGATATTTCATAAAGTACAACTTCCTTGAGTTTGTGCATTGCACGTTGTCAGGAAATTCAGTACAGTGGCGGAGAGTGTGAAAACGTAAGAACTGTTCCAGATTGGCTACATGTAGTTATTCGTTGGCGAAAACTCAAAATTGAGTCGAGCATAAGCCAATCGCCAAATACGATAGAGTAAGTAGCCCAAAAATATGCAGTTTTAACCTTCACATTCCCAAGATCTCATAACTAATTCTCGTTACTGTCTGCCATACAATTCTTATGATGTCAGTTTAGAGAATTTGGTATTGGATCGACTAACAATCCCCTAATTGACATATTTGTTTATTGTCATTACTTATCTACTTGATATTGTATTGATGTTGTAAGGAGAAATTCTGTCTTGGACACTCATGGGAGTTAAATGGTTAAACAAAACCAAACACAAAAACATTAGCCTGTCGGTATCAATGTCAGTATCCAAGCAACTGTGCACCCACCCCTCCCTTAACCCAGCAACAGTCACATGGTAACAACTTAGGGTTAATATTGGGTTAGGGAGGGGTGGGTGCGCAGTTCCTTAAATACGCAATAGATATTTTGAGGTCATTATCTGATTGTTAAACAAGCGGGTTTCTTGACACTATTACTGCTGCATTATACCTGATGATCTCATCTTTCATTATTAAACTCTCTTCCATTTTAGTCATGTCTTCTGAGTGCTGTCTTTGATCGTCCTCTGCTGCCTGAAGTCGAGAGAAAAAACAGGTCTGCAATACGTGAATAAACGAATCCATCGACGACGAGAACCATGCTTCCCTTCAACCGAAAGCCTACGATCGTAGCGCGAGATAAGAGAAATCGGCCCCATAAAAATAATCCTTGCGCCGCGCCAACACCGGATTTGTCTACTCAACCTTAAGTAGGTGACAATAATAATCACATACAGTAAAGTAAACAAATAATAAATAAATTAATAAATAAACCCTTACTCTTATGAGATCATCTCTTGATTGCAATTCTAACCGCAAATGGGCATTTTCTTCCTCAAGACGCTGTTAGAGAAAAAAAAAATTGATAAAAGGAATGATAGAACGTCGTTAATTACTCACATGCCTAAGGCGCATCCGGTAAAATAGTACATAATGATCCAAGACGTTTGGCAGACCAAGGTTTAATCTTTAACCCTTTGACTCCCATAAGCGATCAAGACAGTTTTTCTCCTCGCAATATCAATACAATATCAAGCAGACAAGTGATGAGAATAAGGAAAAATATCAATTCAGGATTATAGGTTGATCCAATACCTAGTCTTCTAAACTAACATCATAAGAACTATATGGCAGACAGTAA